ATACTTCCTTTCTCTCCACATGACACATAAGATAATGCTATACTCTGAGTTCATAGTCAGTAAATGTTGTTAATTGACAGACACATTTTTCTTGATTTAACTCTAATATCCAAAAGGAAGAGTCTTTGTGCTTCTGTGTTTGTCTGTGCATGTGCATTTGTGTCTGAGTGTCTGTATATGTGAAAAGGGGAGATCATAACAATCATTGTCAGGAATTAGTATTTAAAATATCGGTAGACAAATATCGGTAGGAATCTGATTTTTTTTTTCTTTTCTAATTATATCATGTTTGAAAATAGAAAAAAAAGGCTATATCTATAAAATTTATATTGCCCTCACTAGGGGCAGGAATTTTATATATAGCATTAATTTTTAAAAGCTACTGTTTTGTAAACGGCACACCAGTTGTATACAAGTCAGTGTAGTCACAGAAGCCTCTCGAATTTAGTCTCAGATTTTATCTTTATAGATTCTGAATGAATTTCTTACATTTCAGCCTATTATACTGAATGCTAAATGGACTTGTAATGGCCCTCACTTAAAGTGCAGCAAAAATAGGAGACTATTTATTAGCAACTTTATTTTAAGTTTTTATTCCAAATATTCTTTTAATTCAAGAGCTCTAGAAACACAGATTTTGCTTTATTCTACCCTGCCTTCATGGCTAATGATGAATGTACTTGATGAGGAATACTTCACTTTTAAGTGGCAGTTCTCAAGTACTTGCATGGAAGGTGGTGCACAATTAAAATTATTCTAACAGTCTGTTATGCACTGTACACAAGTAATAAAATTAATGGATGCACTTCAAGTAATGATCCATTTCCTCTGGGTGCAATATATTTATTCATAGACTATTTCAGGGGTTGTTTAGAATATGAGATGTGAATGGATTATGATCCATTATCCCTGAGATTCTAATGTGCTACTACAAAATGGTTTCCATAAGTATTGTTCATAATGCCTGGTGTGTTAGTGTTTGTATTCTTAAATAGCTATCAAAAAATTAGAAAAACAGATGCTCATATGATTGATACTTAAAACTTTCCAGATATTTTCACTTATAAACTGTCATAAAACTTAAAAATTTCAGTTGAGTAAAGGAGCATAATTCTATGAAATATCCATAAAACAATTGCATATATAATAGCAAAATTATTCATATGAAAATATTCATATGGGAAACACTTAGTACTCTATTTTTATCCTAGAAAAGTTTTAAGAGACCTTCCTATAATATCACCAGTAGTACTGGCATATAGATGGTCAGTTAATTCATAAAGTTGAAGTAATGGCATTTTTTATTTTCATTTAACAGTGATACACTGAGGTGACATATGACAATGCTTCCATCCCCCATCCAAGTATTTTAAAACAAATTTGAAGCAGCAGAGACTGTGTGCTTGTTTGTGTACGTCTTTTTGCTTCTGTGTATATTGTTCCCTTAGTGCTTGTATTCATAAGGAGTAAGCTACTGATTTGACATTGAGTGAGTTCATAAGAACAGTGTAGTCATTCCATTTCTATTCTAAACTGAGAATTCTCAGATACTGCCATTGAAGACATATTTACTAGAGGGGGTTAGAAGTGTATAGTTTAGAAAGGCAGGTTATATTCTAGTTGAGCAAGACACATATTCATAGATGAATTGATATAATGCTTACATACAAATCCTTCATAATAAGACTTCTGATTCTTGGTGGTCAACATCATGTTTTGCCCAGTGACATATATAAAAATTTCTGTTTTTAACTTTTGGTGTGGTTGTCCTTTATAACTTCAATTTTGAGTGATTATAAATGTATGACCAAGTATTCCACGATTCCCTAACAAACTTTTATGAATACAACACTGGTTATTGATATCACTTTTTTAAAAAAAATGTATCTATATACCTTCTATATCCCATATTAGTTCTATTTTATATAGAATTAGTACTAATTTTTAAATATTAGTTTACCATAAATGCCCTCTTTCAGTCATTAAAAAGACTCCTCCTTCCCCTAATTTCAACACTTGAGAGATCACGTCTCCATTCTTATTTTCTAAATGTTCTTTTTCATTTTGTCTGTATTACATTGTCTAATATTTATGGATTGCTTGCTATGTCAGACTTTGCTGTAAGTTCATCATATATGTTAACTCAGAACCCTCATAAGTATCCTATGAGGTCAATTCTATTTTTATTCTCATTTTAAGGATGAGAAAAAATGAGACCCAATGAGATTAAATAACTGAACCCGGTTCACCCATCTAGTAAGAGACATCAAATTTAAACTCAATTCTGTCTACCAGAGCTCTCATTGTTAATTTCTAAGCCTTTTTTCATGCCTCCCTCTTTTTCCAAACATGGAAGTTGTTCTTTTACGCATTACTGTGTTTTAATTGCCTATATTCAGTTATAAAGATCCATATGCAAATAAGTAGAGGATATTTTAAATTTCAGTATTATGAATTTGTATAATGTTGGTTTTTTTTCCCCTTTATTTTAATTCCTTTTATGTCAATATTTAGATGTCAACACTTTTTTGGTCTAACATAAAGTTTTGTGTAACGACCAACAATGACTTATGAAAGCCTATCTCTGGATTATAATAGATACCACAGAACTTATTGGGACATCATTACAGTTATTTTTATCATTTTGTAAAATTAACATGTATTACTCATTTTGAAAATTAACTTGTGGTTTTATTTTTCGAATTGCTAGGGTTTGTATGGTTGACCTTTCTTAGGGACAGAGAAATATTTTTTTCTCTGTGTTCCCTTATCATTTAGAAAAATGTTAAATAAGACTCAGTCCAGTACCAGTCCATCAGTACCTCTAATTAACTTTAGCATTTCTTATTTGCCTACTTAATGTTTGATTTATATTGACTTGACACATATCATGGACTTTCTCCTTCTAAGTGCTTGTTCAAGTTCAATATATGCTGAAAATATTTCTCTTGAACATCTGATCATTTAGATCCATGGCACATTTTTGAGGTATTACCTAACATAATTTAAAAATTCCCTCCAGGGTATTTTTAAATCATGCCTTTTCATTTTCCAGAAATGTTAACATTTCATCATAATTTTTTTTTCAGACTGAGTGCTCATATGGTTAAAGTTTTAGATTCTTTTCCTAGACTTTATATTAACATGCTCATTTTACAAATATGGTTAATTAGTAGCTTCCCCCAAAACATATCTTGGCACAATTTTTTTGGTATAATTTTTTATCACTCCTCAAAACTTAATTTTCACAAATGGGACAGTAAGACCAATTGCTATCTTAACTATTAGGAGGGTATTCAAAGAATATTGCTTTTACAGACCACAGGCTTCTTTTATACCTAGGTATATGGAGACATGTATATATTCTCTTTTTATGCTTTTTCAATTATATCTCTTTAAAAATATATCAGCCAAAGAAGGAAGAAAAAGATGGTTTGTTTCCTTTGGTGTCATCCTGGGTAGTGTCTAACTTTGAAATTAGTGAAGTTAGAGTTGTGTTTCAACTGAATTTAGAGATGTGGTTTGGAAGCATAACATGATTACAACAAATAAGTCATTAGAATATCTGCACAGAGGAAAGTGAAAAAGGATAAAATAATATAGTTGAATTCACATCTATTTTTCTTAGTCTTTAAAAAGGATAAAGTGGGAGGCATGTACAAATTAGTAAAACCACAGGCCTTATGTTTGGTAGAGTTGTTCTTCAGACTTTTTAAGAACTTAGTTTCCTTTTAAATAAATCATATTACCAAAAAGTTAAGTAAAATGTACACATATAAAAGTAGGTTCTCTTATACAACCTAGTCTTCTACAAAATAACTTTACCCCCTAGATATTTTAACCTAGACAAAGAACCTTATAGTGAGCTTATGTTCTATTTTGAGATCCTTGTGGATACAAATGTAGGAATCAAAAACATTCAAATATTCAATATTTCAAAAATATAAGAAAGTTATCAGCACTATTGTAGCTATGTTTTAAAATGCATTATATCATATTTAATCTATTTTCTTCTTTAATTTCATTTATTAAGAAAGTTATTATATAAATTAATATATCTAAGAAAGTCTAAATTTTTAAAGCAAACTTTAGAGAGTTTGAATATTTTAACACACAGCATAACATGATGTTGTTATACCTTCATGTTATGTATAGTATAATATATACCTAGATTGGCATTAGTCATATATTACATTATGACAAAATTTAAATGAGATAGAATATATGAAAACAAATAGCATATTGCCTGGCACATAGTAGGTACTCCACAAGGGTAGTGGTAAAAATAATATGCTTGTATTTCCATTTTGCCATTGATAGAATTTTCCTTATTTAGTCTTCTCATAGAAAATCTTAAAACTTTCAGATCAACTACCACATTTATAAATGAAAACCTTTCCATATTTGAAAGATTAAAAACCTTTCCATATTTGAATGATTATTTTTTCTGGTGCTTATTTTACTTTCTTGGATCCATGGACAATCTGTTTATTTCTGGCTATCTATAGAAGAAATAGAGAATAATTAATTTTTGAAAAATTATTTTTTAAAGCATATAAATAATAATGTTTCAACTAATTCACAGACTCATTTTTAAAATAAAAGGCAAGTTAGTCTTTGAAAATATATTTGAATAATAAGCATGATATTTAACATGTACTTGAAAACATCCAAAATATTTTTTGCCTATGATTAACCTTCCACATTCCATCAGAGTTATGACCACTATTGTTTTTATTTAGATCTACTCTTCTATATTTTATATCTATGTATTTATCATTTTATAACATTCATATTCTTTGTATGAGATACAATTCTAATAATTTGCAATCAATAATCAGAAATCATCTCCATACTTTTACATCTTAGTTAATAAATGATTTTGTTTGAAATCATTCATACAGTGAATACTTTTGTAATTCAGATATATTGGTTCTCAGATCATTTCTTTCAGTCTGTGGCTTTAGGGGATATATTTAATTTTTTTTTTTTCTTTCTAGAGGGTGTTAACGCTGACAGCATCAAACAAGCCTCAGAACAACTGAACAGCCGGTGGATCGAGTTCTGCCAGTTGCTAAGTGAGAGACTTAACTGGCTGGAGTATCAGAACAACATCATCACTTTCTATAATCAGCTACAACAATTGGAGCAGATGACAACTACTGCTGAAAACTGGTTGAAAATCCAACCCACCACCACATCAGAGCCAACAGCAATTAAAAGTCAGTTAAAAATTTGTAAGGTAAGGATCTTCCTCTTTTCATTTGGAGCATAATCAATAGGCATTTCTTGTCAGTTTCCAAAGGACAATACTAAAGTGTTTAGTAATAAAAGTTTTACCTTCTAAGGATTTAGCTAAGCACAGCAAAGATCAAAATATAGGCAAAGAAAGTCAGTTTAAATACATAATGCCTGGATGCCTGAATCCTAAAATTGTATTTAGAGTAGTTACACACAACTAATTGATATTATTAGATTGCAGAAGTGTGAAGCAATTTGGGAGTGTGAAAACTACATGTGTCTTATGAAAAATGGCCTGAACTTTTGAGCTTTTTCTTTGCTAAGAGCAAAATTTAGGCATGTGTCGAAAATCCATGCAAATAGCTAGAAACACGGTTCAACCATAACTGATATAATATATAGTTGTATACGTAAGGAAAATCTTTAAAACTGATGGCCCACTCAAGTTAGGATAATTTGAGAAAGGCTTCTTTACAAAGAAATATTTAAAAACTGTGATTGGAGTATAGTGGAACCACAAGGGATAATATAGTAACCTAGCATCAGAGCTATTATCTCTCTTAGGCCAGAAAGGATCAAGGAGAGAAATTACAGAAACTCAGAAGGATATAGTCAGATCCTTATGGTAAAGGCAGCCTTAAGGCCCAGCCAAGGCACCCTCATAGAAATGGACCCAGAAAAATAAATATCCTACTTAATTCTCCCCCCTGCATCCAGAATCTGGAAAGGGCTCCCCACTAACTAAACTTAATCAGAAGGCAAAGGACACAGAACTGTAATCTGTAAATATCAATCTTCTGAGTCACAGGAGAAAGGTAGACAGTGGATCTGGATGGGCAAAGTGTATGTGGCACAAAAGGGCCTGAGAAAGAGATTAAAGGAGCATGTCTGCAAGTGTAAAAAAAAAGAAGAGTGGCATAATAATGAAAACTGCTTGAACTTTTTTCATTGCTACTATTAGCTATGCACTTTTCATGGGAAATGCAAAATTGATTAGAGGATGGATTAAAAGACTTTTAGAATGAACATTTAGTGATAGATTGAGATGAGTGTATTTAATACAAAAGACAATGAATAAGGGTTAATTTACATACTTTAAAAAGAATGGTTTAACTTAAGGGAGACTGTACATGGGGAGGTGAAAGGATTTATTTGGAAATGATATTGAACCCAGAATGTGGTGAGAAATTGAAAACTATTGTTTAGGGAAATGCAATTTAAAGACTCAATGGTTCTTCAAATATTAGACCTACAGCTTTTCTAGGACATAAATAAACTCAGAGAGTATATATATTGAATATAATATAGAAGTATATTTAGCTTATTAGACAAATAAGCACATCTAGAAATTTGTATATTTAGATATATTTTGTAATTAAAGAGTAGAACCCATGGCTTTTTTTCCCTGTGAATCAGAGCAGTGACCAATGACATTATTTATTGCAATAAAAATCTGATGGTATTATATTAACCTGAATCTTGAGATTCAGGTATAATAATTAGTAATAACATATACAAAGTACATTCATGCATAAAATATATATTCAACGTCTCCATTGTGGCCAAGAATGACATTGAGCGTGTTAGTCAGCATGAGCTACCATAACAAATACGATATAGACTGTGTGGCTTAAACAGCACAAGTATATTTTTGCACAGTTCTGAAAGCAAAGAAGTTCAAGATTAAGGTCTGGCAGGGTTCAGCTTCTGGCGAGGACTCTCTTCCTGGCTTGCAGATGGTTGCCTTCTTATTGTGCCCTCATATGGCTCTCCTCAGTACATGTACCTGGAGAGAAAGAAAGAGACATATGTCTTTCTCTGCCTCTTTTTAAAAAGCCACCAATCCTATGAAATTAGGACCCCACCCAGATGACCTCATTTAAACTTTAGACAAGCCTAAAATACTCATCTCCAAATACAGTCCCTTTAGGGGTTAGGGCTTCACCATGTGAATTTTGAGGTACATAATTCAGCCCTTAGCACTAAGTTTTGGGGATATTAGATGAACATTCACTGACCCTGCCCTCATGATATTTACATAAAGTAGAAGAGACATGAAACACATGAATCAATCAATAGATGAAAAATTACCACTAATATCAATGTTTTAAACAGAGGTACAGATCTTTGAGAGAATGTCTAACAAGGAAAATCTGACCTAGACAGAGCCACCAAGGGTTTCTTCATTGAGGGAGGGACATGTGAGTTGAGTATTTTATGATGAGTTGGAATTAAAAAGAGTACAGCAAGAGACTTCAGGCAGTAGGGACAATTAGACCAACCAACTGAAAGAAGGCCATGTGAATGTCAACATAGAGGGACATGGAAGTAAGATGAGAGATGAAGGGAAAAAGACATATATGTTAATAGAAGACAAAGCATGAACAGCAAATGGAGATCACAGGACATTGTGTATATTAAGTATTCTCTGGACAGTGAAAATATGTCCACTCTGGATAAGGGAAAATATTTGTTTTATTGCATCCAGCCACAAAATCCCAAATTGTATTGATACAATCCTGTCCCTCTTTATCACCTCTTACTCGTTCTCTCTTGCTAATTAATTCCTATTAATTTGATATGTCATTTTAGGTAAAATATTTGGCGGGATAAGCTAAATATCATCTATACAAGGATAAAAATTTTTACCCCTTGATTGTGATAGTGATAGATGGATAAACTATTATATTCTGTTTGTCAGTGCTTCCTTTTATTGGAGAAGTTTTATAACATTAGAGTGCAAATTTAGCTCATAATCTAATGCATGATAAAACTGTTTTTTAATATGTTGGGGGATAGAGAGCCTTGTGAGAATTAAAAGAAATCACTGAACCCTTTCCTGAGAAAAATACAAAAGCTTCTATTAGGTAAGCATATATAATAGTTTTAAAGGATAAACAAACTCAAAGAAGATGCCTTACTCTGGAGGACCAACCACACCAAACCCTTTTATGGAAATAATGGCTAATTGTTAACATCTTTTAAATGTTGAATACTTTAGTTGAAAATAATCCTTTCTATGATTTATTTTTAGAACTTTAAGGTCTCAACTGACCATTTGCCCAAATGTTTTATTAGATTCAGAGTCCCCTTTGCTTTGTATAACACACTCGGCTATAATGTAGGCTTTTTCTACAGCCCCCTAAACAGCAAAAATGACAGCCCTCCATCTGGCCAAATATAAATCAGGTTCTTAACTGTTCACAGCAGATGCCAATATTGCCATTGCAAGTCTAGTATACAAAATGAATGTATTTATTTCTATAGTAAAAAACACAGAATATTACTTTTTACCTTTTGTCTTATTTTTTACCCATGGATATGCAGCAACCTTCTAGCATTTGATTGACAAGATTTTATTTGAATGAGGGCCATAGGTCTTCATTTTGCTAAATGTCTTTAATATTCACCCACCAAAAATTTAATTCTCAGAGATTATTCTATGTGAATCATTACACAAGTGTTATAACCACATAACATAATGTTCCTCTGAAAGTTATCTTTATGTCTTTAGAAATCAGAACATGTGACATTTTCCATTAGGTAGTCTTGCAACCATGAAAGGATTTATTTCATAAAGTTATCACAGCCAATCTTTAAACAAAAGTTATTCTCTCCAAAAGAGTATGCATGTATACAAAAATGACTTTTTCTTTTTGCTTTTTCATTTTCATTTCCAGGAAGCTCAGATTTAAATTTAGTCCATAATTTCTGTAATTCTTTCAATTTCCCCCTCCTCCTTATTGGCTCATGATCAAATTTTTAATGTTTAATTATCCTATTTTTTACATATTAAATGGTAAATAATCTTTAAGTATATTTTTTCCTAAAGGCGGTAGCATAGGTATGAATTATAAGTAAGCAATCATGGTAACAATACTTTAAAGAAGAGAATTTCAAAATTTGTTTGATTTCCAATTATATATATATATAATTATATATTATGTTGTTATTTTATGTATATTATTATATATAATATATAATATATAATAATATAATAATATTATATTATATAATAATATAATATAATATATTATATAATAATATATAAATATAATATATTAATATATAATATATTAGATAAAATAATATATAATAAATATATAATATATATATTAGGGCATATATAAATAATATATATATAAATACATAAAATACAACATAATTGCAACTTCACTGGAAACAAGAGTATGAAAACATTTATGTTGACAATATTACATCCAAAAGAAATATAATGCAAGCCACAGATTAGAACCACATAAGTAATCTTAAATGTTATAGAAGCTACAGTAAAAAAGGAAAACAGTTAAAAGAATTTCAATAATGTATTTTATTTAACTTGACTTACCAAAATATTATCATTTGGGGGGGTTTGATCAATATTAAACTATGAGATAATTTATATTTTTATTTGTTCACAAGTTTCCAGAATTCAGTGTGTATTTTATAATTTCAGCACATGTAAATTTGTACTAGCCACATGTCAGGTGTTCAGTAGCCACATGCAGCTAGTGACGATTATATATCGAGCAACACAGCAATATTTATGTGATTTTATCATACAAACAAGAGTGCTATTGACAGTGAAAGAGGGTGCTATTAATAATTAATCTAGGACAACAAAAGGAAAACTGGACAAACAATTACCCTAATTAAAGAGTAGTAATTTCCTGTTTGGTCAGGAAAAGTAATGAGATCATACAAGAGGCAAATAATTATTATATAATTCTATATGTATGTATACACACATGTAAAATCTATATAATATAGGAACATATATTCGTAATGTAATATAATATGCACATGTAGTTTATACTTTACACAAATGAATTGAAAGAAAAATATATTGTTCATTGACTGAGCTTAGAATTTGAAGCAAAGGCACACCATTTTGAGAAAAGAGGGGTGCAGTGATTTAAGGAAAGGATTAAGGTCATTCGTAGTACTTTTCAACCTCACACATTCATTTCCATTAAGGCTCTAAATGATGTCATCTTGAAATTAAGGATCATTATCTATGATGATGCATGTTGAACAAAGAGCCAAGGTGTTCTTAAATTGATGACCTGTGGTAGAGGCTTGCCTATACTGTCATGGAGGCTTCTTATCAAATGTTTGTTATGGGTATTAAGCTAAACTTGCCTTACTGCCTTTTAACACATTCTTTTTTTTTTTTTTGAGACAGAGTCTTGCTTTGTTGCCCAGGCTAGAGTGAGTGCCGTGGTGTCAGCCTAGCTCACAGCAACCTCAAACTCCTGGGCTCAGGTGATCCTCCTGCCTCAGCCTCCCGAGTAGCTGGGACTACAGGCATGCGCCACCATGCCCTGCTAATTTTTTCTATATATATTAGTTGGCCAATTGATTTCTTTCTATTTATAGTAGAGACAGGGTCTCACTCTTGCTCAGGCTAGTTTCGAACTGCTGACCTCGAGCAATCCGCCTGCCTCGGCCTCCCAGAGAGCTAGGATTACAGGCGTGAGCCACCGTGCCCGGCCTAACACATTCTTTTGTAAAAGCTAATGTATGCAGAGTAAAAGTGTTATTTATTTTTTATACTTTAAATTATGGTACAGGATGAAGTCAACCGGCTGTCAGTTCTTCAGCCTCAAATCGAACGATTAAAAATTCAAAGCATAACCCTGAAAGAAAAAGGACAAGGGCCCATGTTCCTGGATGCAGACTTTGTGGCCTTTACAAATCATTTTAACCAAGTTTATTCTGATGTGCAGGCCAGAGAGAAAGAGCTACAGACAAGTAAGTAAAAATTCTTAAAATGGCTAACTTGAAATGTTCCATATTGGTTATTTGTGGGGAAAATAGAAAGTACTAACACAAAAGAATAACTTCTATTAATGGAAACATTCTCCCTACTACTTGTATTAACAAATATTGAAATACTGGTGTTGGAAAACAGATATGTTATCTTTAGATTCCCTTCGCCTTCATAATAGTTCTATGACTTTGAGGAACAAATAAAATGTGTTTCGTACAGACACAACTTCTCCTTGGTAGGTTGCAAATTTTAGAATCAAGCATTTTAAACATTAAAGAAAATAAAAGAGCAGATAAGGGCATGTGGGTAGGCTTTCACTAAATCCAGTTGCTCTACATACAAGGACATGTAGCAAGCCATCTTCTAATACTTCTATCAATTTATCTGAAGAGTATTATAGTTATAGCATACATGTGGCAACTGAAACTCAGCAAAGGACAAATTATTCTTTGGGCACATTTTACTATTGGATCACTATAATTATATAAATCCTCTGTTTTTCCTTTGATGATAAAATAAAAGATAAAAGTGGAGCAATTATGCAAATACATGCCATGTGACTAGTAAATTTTTCAAGATGTCTCTTTTGTCTCTCCCTAATTTGCTTTAATAAGATGATGTTAATACATAGTATCTGCTCTGAAATATCTCTACTCATCAGCTTAATTTTTAAGATAAAAATTCAAATTCTTTTGAGAGACAGGTTAATGAATACTTTTAAGCAATATTAAATGAATTTTTGATCCACAAACACATGCATACATATGTTCATGTGCACATACAAAGAATTATAGAGTATAATTTGGTTTTAAAATATTAAGATAAAATTATTTTTAAAAATATCTTCCCCTAAACTTGTGATGAGAAGCACAAAAACGTGTTTGTTTTCTACTCAATGTTTAGTTGGAAAACACATTTTCCTATTACTTTTCTTTATAAATATTTAAAGAATTTACCATATAATATCATTTCTAGAATTAATATAGTAGTATAGTCAAAGCTGTTCTTATTTCCTAGCTTTTTATTCTTATGAAAACAAAATCAACTAAGTGAAGTATAAGATAAATATGTGTATATGTGTATATATGTATATGTAAATGTAAATTTATATATAAATATATGTATATATATATATTCCCCCTATACTCTCCACACTTAGTACTAAATAGTACTAAAAACGAAAATGCTTCCTATTTCCATAGTACTCTTTAGTCTATAAATAACTTCCTTCTAAATTATTTTTCTTAATTCTTGGAGAAGAACACATTGAGTATATGTTTTATTAGCCCATTGTCACAAATGAGCTAATTGGGCCTGAATAAGCGATAGCCAAAAAGTGGAGGTAACCCAAATGTTCATCAACTGAAGAAAATGGATATATCCATACAGTGTAGTATTTTTCAGCAATAAGAAGGAATAAACTATTGGTATATGCTACAACATGGATGACCCTTGAAAACATTATGCTAAATTAAAGAAGGCAGTCACAAAAGATTTTATATATATATATATATATATATATATATATATATATATATATATATATGTATGTATATATGATTCCATTTATAGGAAATGGCCACAATAGGCAATTCTGTAGACATGGAAGTAGATTAGTGGTTGCCTAGAGCTAGAAGGTTCGGGGCGTGAAATTATGTCCTAAGACAATCTACAAAATACTTTTGTAGAAATTGCAAACAAGAAAGCCCATGCTCTACTATAGGTGAATACAGAAACATAGCCCTAGTTTGTTATAGATAATAGAAACACAGTTGAGAGTCAGTTTATCGTTGGCCTAGAGTTGTGATAAGCAAGATAAAAATGGTTGGAGCCCTTGAAACAGTGATGACTTGGGAGGAGTGTGTGTGTGGATACTCTTTACCAAAATTACATGGAATAATGGTTCCCTCTTGCAGAAATAGTAGAAGAAAATTTTAGGGTAGCAAGCAAAAATGCTCTTCATGGCCATAATTTCAAGCTCTGTGGTTAGTCCTTGCTATTCCATGTTAAGACACTGAGATTGGGAAAGAAAACAAAGATGACGTGAGCTAACTCTTTCATCTCCAGGTCATAAAATTGACCTGATTTACATTTATAAAATTTTAACATTTAGTTTTTCATTTTATTTTTACTATATCCAGGAAAGGAATATCTTACTTTAGTAAACACATACTCTGCAACTTTGCTTCTTAACTCCAGAAACAATTAAGAAAAACTGTTTGTTTGTAAATGGTTCTTTTATAAAATTCCATTTTCTTTATCAGTGGCATCAAAAGCTATAATAACAGACATATTTATTTAGGCTGGCTATGTGCTTGATATTGTGAGATACAAGAATTGCTCCCTGACCTCAAGAATCTTGGGAACATATGCTAATTGCCAAGTTAAAGAATAAAAACTAAAAACATTTTTTTTTTATTTTAAAAGTTATTTAAAGTGACAGCTGGAACCCATTCTACTAAGTGAAGTATCTCAAGAGTGGAAAAACCAGCACCACATGTACTCACCAGCAAATTGGTATTAACATATCAACACCTAAGTGAACATATAGGAGTAACATTTATCGGGTGTCGGGAGGGTGGGAGGAGGGAGGAGAGGATGGATATATACAATTACAGTGAGTAAGATGTGCAACGTTTGGGGGATGGACATGCTTGAAGCTCTTACTTGAGGCGGGAGGGTGGCATGGGCAATATAAGTAACCTTAACACTTGTACCCCCATAATATGCTAAAATAAAAAATTTTAAAAAAGTTATTTAACAGGAGCCTCCATACTATTTTTCAAAATGGCTGTACTAATTAACATTTCCACCAACAGTATACAAGAGTACCCTTTTCTCCACATTCTTTCGAACACTTTTTTTTTTTTTTTTGAGACAGAATCTCACGCTGTGCCATGGCATCAGCCTAGCTCACAGCAACCTCAAACTCCTGGGCTCAAACAATTTTCCTGCCTCAGCCTTCTGAGTAGCTGGGACTACAGGAATGTGCCACTAAGCCTGGTTAATTTTTTTCTGTTTTTAGTTGTCCAGCTAATTTCTTTCTATGTTTAGTAGAGACGGAGTCTTGCTCTTGCTCAGGCTGGTCTCCAACTCCTGAGCTCAAAAGATCCCCCAGCCTCAGCCTCCCAGAGTGCTAGGATTATAGGCGTGAGCCACCATGCCCAGCCTCTTTTATCTTTTTGATAAAAGCCATTCTAACAGGTATAAATTGATATCTCATGGTGGTTTTAACTCTCATTTCCCTGATGTATAAAGATGTTGAACATTTGTTCATACATTTATTGGCCATTTGTACCTCTTCTTTCGAGGAATGTTTGTTCAGATTCTTTGCCCATTTTTAAAATCAGGTTATTTTCTTGCTGTTGATTTGTTTGAGTTCCCTATATATATTTTGGAATTTAGTCTCTTATCAGATATGTGTTTTATAAATATTTTCTCCCAATCTGTGGGCTTTTTATTCTGTTGTTTCCTTTAGTTTGATGCACTCCCATTTGTCTATTTTTGCTTTTGTTGCCCATGCCACATTTATTTCAGTATTATTCATAATAGCCAAATATGAAAGCAACCTATGTGTCTATCAAAGGATAAATGGATAAAGAACATGTGGTGTATATACACAATGGAATACTATACAGCCTTTAAAAAGAAGAATATTTTTTCACTTTCAACAATATGGATGGAACTAAAGGATATTATGTTAAGTGAAATAAGCCAGGAACAGAAAGATAAATACTGTATGATCTCACATGTATGTGGAATCTAAAAAAGTTGAACTCATAGAAACAGAGAATAGAATGATGGTTACTAGGGATTGGAGGTGAGAGGAGAGGGATGAGGAAAGAGTAGATATTGATCCAAAGGCACAAAGTTTTAGTTAGACTGGAGGAATAAATTTTAGTGATCTATTGTCCTACATGGTTGTCACAGTTAATAATAATGTATGTTTCACAATTGCTAAAATAATAGATTTTTAGTAGCTTTACCACAAAAAATATCATGTTGGTGAGGTGACAGACATGTTAATTAGCCTGATTAAACCTTTTAAAATGCATACATATGTCAAAACCTCACATTCTACCTGATGAATATACAAAATTATTATTTATAAATTAAAAATAAATTAATAAAATATTTTATTGAACAGGATTTCTTGAAGACAGAGTTCCTAAATGAATAGAGATACTTTTAGGGAAATTGTGAAAAAGGGAAAATTCAGCAAAACAAAAACACAAACAAAAATTTATTGGCTCACTCCTGTAATCCTAGCACTCTGGGAGGCCAAGGCGGGCAGATTGCTTAAGGTCAAGAGTTTGAAACCAGCCTGAGCAAGAGCAAGACCCCGTCTTGCTCTATATAAATAAATACTATAAATAAAAAGAAATTAATTGGCCAACTAATATATATAGAAAAAAATTAGCCGGGCATTGTGGCACATGCCTGTAGTCCCAGCTACTCGGGAGACTGAGGCAGGAGGATCTCTTGAGCCCAGGAGTTTGAGGTTTCTGTGAGCTAGGCTGACACCATGGCACTCACTCTAGCCTGGGCAACAAAGTGAGACTCTGTCTCAAAAAAAAAACAAACAAAAAAAAAATATATATATATATATATATATATATATATTACCTTATGTTGTAATAAATATTTCAGTATTTCAGTAGTGTGGTGGTTTATACTGAATATAAAGTTGGTTAAGAAAATTGGATGAAAATGGAAAATAAATCAATTGTTCAAGAGGCAGATAATAAGACAAAAATTTCAATTGGTTCATTGGACTTCGATGACTTTTAAAACAAATTCTAAGTTATCTTAGATAAAATTTTTATAAGCTAATCTATTTTGCTCATGGTAGACCACACCTATGGCCCTTTGTGAGAATGGAGCCTGAGCAGCAGGAACTTTTAGCAGAGCAGGTGGCATAAGCACAAAGGCCTGAAGATAGATTTTGGTTGGATGATAGGATATTCACAGTGATAAGAAA